ACCCCGCGCCTCACTGTCCCCCTGCACCCTCTCCGCCTCTCTGCGCGCTCCTCCCCCGCCGACTCCCTCGCTTCCCCACTTTCTGCGCTCTCTCCGCGCCCCCTCTCCTTCTCCCAGCCCCTCCGCCTCCCTCGGGTCCGGACGCTCCTGGGGGGGCTCAGGCTGACTTGGGAAGCGGGGGGTTTGGGTCCGGGCCAGGCCTGCTGAGTGCCATGTGGACTTGGGAAAAGGCAGTGCTCCCCTGTGGTCCGAGTCCCCAGTCAGCACCAGGACGGAATTGCGTTCGGCTGGAAACTTGTCGCTAACTTGACAGTTTGCTGACAGAGTCCTCTGCAGTAACCTAGCTGCTTTTTTTTTTTTTTTTTTAATGAAAGGGAAAAAAGTGTTCATGCACATCTTTAAAATGCTTAAAAATACAAAGTGTACAAAGTAAAAGTACTCACTGAGCATCTATCTGCTGCTCTATGTCTGACCTTGTCCTTCACTGAGGATACAGTGGAAACAAGGCAGAGTTCCTGTCTTCATGGAACATGGGTGGGGCAGACAAAAATCAAATAAATACACAATATTTCAGATAGTGATGAGTGCTATGGAGGCAATAAAAACTGGTTCAGTGGAGGAGGGGGGTGTCTTTGGATGAGATGGTTAGGGGAGGAGAAAAGACCCTAATAGCAGGCAGGTGAAGCTTAAAGGACATGTAAGGGGCTGGCAAGTGCAAAGATATTGGGCCCCAACCTGCTTGTGAGCCAGGGAAGTAGCCTCTGGAGCGGGGGAGAGGGTGAGAAGGCAGCCTCCCTGCTCCTCTCACTCCCCAAGGGCTGCTGTAGTGGCAGTTTTGGTTATTTTTCTTTTATTTATCTATTTATTGGATTTATTGGGGTGACATTGGTTAATAAAATTATATAGGGTTCAGTATACAATTCTACAATACATCCCCTGTATACTGTATTGTGTGTTTGCCACTCCAAGTCAAGTCTCCTAGACATTTTTCTAGGAGCACAAGCATGCATATAATTTTCTTTCTTCCTTTCTCCCCTGCCCCTCTTTTCTCCACCCCCTCTCTTTTTTTTTTCCTTTTTTTTTTTTTTTTTTTTTTACAAAACTCCTCCTGTATTCCACGGGTGGCTGTCGTGCACTTTATTCAGAAGCGTCTCACCCTCACTGGGCTCGGGCCTGGGAGGGAATACAAAGTGGGGACTCACAGGCCTCGGGCCTCAAGGGAGAGCCTGACTCCCGGGAACTCACCAGCAAAACTTGTGTCACAAGCATGATTCCCAGAAAGGGGCAGTAGGAAGGGTGATGGGATTTCGCAGAATCAACAATGTCTGAGGTTGTCTACTTTTCAGGGTCACCTGAAACCCAACCCCTTAGGTTCTTCTCCCAGCTCTGACCCTTTGTGAGCCCTCCATTAAATTATTTTCCTCTCTGGGCCTGAACCTCACAATATGCAAAATGGGAGGACTGGACAAAATAACTTCCAAGTGAAATTCAGGTTTCTAAGATAATTAACTCTGCCCCTCGAACCTGTTTCTCCATATATAAATAGAGCGTACATCAGGATCAAATGAGAGCACATGGAAAAGCTCTTTAAGTGGATGATTCTTTTCTGTTGAGCCATTGAGCTTCCTGAGCCGTTTAAGGGTTTTGTTTGGTTGCATAACTATTTCAGCCCAGGGCACCCATTACATAAGGGAGGCATTTCCATTATAACCCATGTGAATGTGCTCCTGAGATCTTGTTTATTCAACTGGCCTCTAGGTTCTGCCTTTCTCTAGCTAGGTTTTTTTAAAAAATATGTTTTTATTGATTTCAGAGAGAGGAAGGGAGGGAGAGAGAGAGAGAAACATCAATGATGACAGAGAATCATTGATCGGCTGCCTTCTGCATGCTCCCCACTGGGGATGGAGCCTGCAACCCGGGCATGTGCCCTAACCGGGAATAGAGCCTCAATCGCCTGGATCGTAGTTCGATGCTCAACCGCTGAGCCACGCCAGCTGGGCTTGAGTTAACTTTTTCAACAGAGAAAAAGGAGACCTGTGTGTCACAGGAAAGCCAAAGTCCCTGCTATTCTGAAACAAGCTTCTGATTGGCCAGTTCAAAAATGGGTACACTTAATGGGTTAGTGTCCTCCCTAAGTCAAATGATAGAACTCCTCAGAAGGTTCATCCCTTGATCTATCCTGTGTGTCCTGGCCTGGTGATAGCTCCTGGAGACACCTGTCATGCCACTACGCTGGATGCTGGTTATTTCTCTTTCAGAAACAAGTTTCTTAGATAAAGTCTCTTTTCTTTGAGATTCTCATGCTGAAATCACTAAGTAAACCCAGCCTGGGTGCATCAGACATGCCTCTCTTTTTACTTTTAAATTTTCATCTCATTTTTGAAAGTTAACTTTTATTAAAATATATCACACACAGAGGAAAGGCACAAAGAAGTGTAAATGTCCTCAAATTTTTATAAATTGAACACACCTATGCAACAAGCACCCAGACCAAGTAAAAGAATATTTCCAGAACCCTAGAGTCCTGGTCCTCTTCTGGTTGCTTACCCTTCCAAAGGTTAACCACTATCCTGACTCCTAATTGCATATGTACATTTAGCCACACCTGACTTATTACAATCTAGCTATGAAAACCAATCATTTCCCTTTTTGCTATTGAATTTCATTTCTGTCACTTGCAACCAAGAGTACTCAGAACAGTACAGATTATGGGGTGCTGCAAGTCACAGGCCGTAATATGTGGAATTGGCAGAGTTCACATTGGGTATGGAGCAGGCCAGGATTCCTTTTTCTAGCTGGAAAATTGGTAGTAAACTGGCTGGTTAAAATGCCTGTTGCTTTTTGGGACCCTCAGCCATATCACCACTGAGGTTATAATTTTAGAAATCTTGGTAAAGCAAAAAGAGGATGGTGGAACATGTTGGCTATTTGTTGTGACTTTCAGGAAGGTCAAGCTCCTGTCCAAGCTGGCACGTCTGAGAGAGAAATAAGAAAATGTCTTGTGAACAGAGGGCTCTTAATGCTCGCTAATCAGCTGTGATGCCTGGAAGCCTGAGAATTATATGCTATGTTGATTGTGAAAGCTGAGTTCTCTGTCCAAGGATAAAATTACTACTAGCAAGAGCAGGGTACACAGCAGGAGATGGGACTGTGGAAGAGCCAGATTCCTCCAAGACCACCCAAACCCCTCAAGCTGCCTGCCAGGCCATTACTGCCTTTGTAGGGAAAACATAGGGTGGCTGGAGGGGATACCAGGCTGGCACCCCAGGCAACAAGTCCTGACTCTAGAGGGCGCCACTCACATGGACCATGATGACGGAAGGCAATTTAGCCCCTTGGTCTGCCCCACTCTTGGAGCTCGTAATAGCAGTGTTAGACCCATAATTTTGCCACTGTTTACCGGGAGGAGGTATGGCATAGTGGTTAAGTGTAGAAGCCTTGGAATTTGGCTATATGGGTTTCAAATTCCAGCTCTCCTGTTTTCAGTGATTGGAGTTCTAGGCCCTGTTCAGCCACAAACTTTTGAATGGCCTTGGTGAGCATAGAAGTTTTCTAGTTTCCTCACTCAGATCCCAGCTAAATTTAGGATTTCTCCTCCATCCTGCTCCTCTTCCAAGCTTGCCCATCTCAGCATATGGCCCACCAGCAGCTCAAGCCCAGTCCATCCTTCATATCTAATCTACCTCCTAAATCCATTTCACTCCCTATCCCATCACCACTCCAGTCCAGGCCATAAAATTTGTCATCTGCACTTTGCTGCACTGCTATCAAAATGCTTTTATAAAATGCAAACCAGAGTGAGTCATTCTCCTGCTTAAATGGTTTCAACTGGCTTTCCTTCCTCTTGGAATAGTTTTGTTGGGGGTGGCAGGAAAGGCACCATCTGTTACACAGGTGGGTTAGACCCGACCTGGGTTGAGCAACCTCGGTACTTGAGTTCTGGCTTGGAAAGAATTCAGAGCCAAGACTCAGACTATAAGTTATGAGAACATTTATTTAGAAAATCACAAAGGTAGAAGTAATTCATAGAAGAAATGGGCTCAGGAAACAAGTTATAGAGGCAAAGGAAGGGCCCTTGGAGCTTAGAAGTGAGTCAGGTCAAGGTGACCTGCCTGTGGGGTGGGGGAGGGAGAGGGGAAAGGCATGGGTGTGCTCCCAGGAGGAAGAGCATGCTGGGTCCTGTCCTGTGGGTTTTAAGGGTGGAGATTTTAGGAGAGGTCCCAGAGGAAGATCTCAATAGAATATTTGGCAGCTTTCTAGGTGTGTCCTTTCAGGGTTGGGCTCTCCAATGATTGATTGGTTGGTGCCAGGGCAGGGGTCATTATTTAATGCAGCTGGTCCTGAGGTCAGCCAGTCAGTTGGTTTTGCTTGTCTGGTTTTGTTGCTTTTCTGGGCCTGGAGCTAAAATACAGCTGAGGCCTAGATGTTCTCTCTAGGGAGGGAAGGTCAGGGGGTTCAAACCACAAGACCAGTGAGTGATAATGCTAGGGGAGGAAAGGTCACCCTGGGGACGAGGTCTCACCTTACAGTTGTCCTTTGCTGGGTACCCAGGGCTTTGTGCCCTGGTGACCATCTATACCTGGCCCATCGGCCTTGCTCTGCTCATGTCTAACTGCCTACGTTTGAAAAGGCTGATGTGGCTTTTGAGCCCCTGCATGGTTTGGCCCTGGTCTCTCTTCAGGCCACTTGTTCCTCCATCCTTCCCTGTGCTTCAGCCATACTAGCCTTATTTTCCCACTCATTCTAGCCCCAGGATCCCCTCTGCCTGGAATATTCTCCCCCAAACACATTTAGCTTGGTTGTTCATCTTTCAGTGTTCTGGGGAGACCTGTGACAACCACCAGAGTTTGTGTTTGAATTTTGGAGCCTTTATTAGCTGGCCAGCAGCTACAGATCCAGCGTCTCACCCATGTGAGAGCCGAACTGCAGCCCTGACCCTCAGTTCATGCTCAGTAACCACAAAGGCACTGTGGTAAAGGGGTTTCCAATAATTTGTCAGGCTGTTAGCTTTTGGTACAGGAAACAAGGGGGGACCTTTAGCAACACAAAAGGGATGATTTAAACGCAATGTCTTAACAATGAGTAATGGGGTTTTATGCTTGGCTGGAGCGTGACTGGTTTGTTCTTTCTATAAAAACTCGGGGGGGGGGACGGTAATTATTGGGCTAGCTTGTCAGGCCTTGTCCTGTACAATAGGGATCTTGTTCTACCTTTACTGTTAGTTCCTTAGGTGTTCTTCTGGCCATGGTGGCAGAACATCAGGTCTAGGCTTAAATGTCAGTCCCTCAGGGAAGCATTTCCTGATCCTTCAAACCAGGTCAGTTCCTGTTCACCACCTTCATGGTACCTGTTACGATGTCACTGGTGACACATGTGCCTCCTGGTTCTCCGGGAGACCCATTCCGCTTAATGTTGCCCCTGTGTGTGTGTGTGTGTGTGGGGGGGGTGTCTAGATACAGGGTTGTTTGCTTTCTGTGGACCGTTTGTTCCAAAGGGGCAGTGTCTACTGTCTTCTGTCCCTAGAACAGAGCCAGGCCCTGTATTTGATGGGCGATGAGTCTGGGATGGCCTTGAAGAACCTTTCTTTTCACACGCATCACTTTAACCAGAAATGATCTCAGGGGCCAGGAGACAGGCCAAGAAGCTAAGATGGTCAAAGGTTCTGGTCTGGTCTAAGCCCTGAGGCGATGAGGCAGTGCTGGCTCATTTCCGATGACTGCTAGACCCCTAGGTGGTAGATCAGGCTCTGGCTCCTGGCCAGGTGAAGCTTTGACTTCTCAAGCCCTGATTTTGGCTGGCCAGTTCCCTGCAGGCTAAGATCCCGTCTTCAGTTAATTCTGCCACAGCTTGGGGAAGACTACTTAGAGTCGGAGGAGACTGGTCTGACTGCAGGAGCTGCTGAGATTTTATAATTCTAGATTTTAAAATGGGTTGTACTGCTTTACAGTCCAAATTAACTTACTATGGGCCTGGAGTTGAGATTCCCTGTCACTCTGCAGACGGGCAGGTGGACTTGCAAACAGGCCCCTCCTTAGTTGGGCCTTAACTTTTGCTAGGGGGAAACATTATGTCCTGTTGGTCTCAGAAGAAAACTGGAACCACTCATCCAGCTAAAACCCACGAGGGCATCCTTATTTCCTTCCGATGCCTCACCCTTGACACCCCCACCCTTACTCCCCCGCCCCCGGAATTAAAGCATCGGCAAAATCTGCTAGTTCTTTCTCTAAAATGTATCCTGAATACATCTACTTCCTCTTATCTCCACTGTCACCACTGTCATCCAGGCCACTACCACTGCTCCCTGGGGTCTGCGGTAGCCTTCTAACCAGGCTCTTTTTCTCATACCTTTCCATTTTCCCCACAGCAGCAGAAGGTGGGAAACTGGACCATACGTAACAGGTTAAGATCCTTTAGTTGTCTTTGTATCACAGGCAAAATATGATCCAAGCTTCCTAAAAGGTGCAGGAATCTACCTTTGTCACCTCCATCCTGTCACCCATCCTCTCTGCACCTTGCTCCCAGCAGTGCTGCCAAGCTCCTCTCACTGCAGGATCTTTGTGCACTTGGTGTCACGCACAGCTGGTGTGCTTCCCTCTGCTCTCCTCAAGGACCCTTCCTTGTTCCTTGATCTCAGGGAGCGGCTCTCCCCCTACGCCCCCCGTCTGTCTCAGACCCTTTATTTCCTTCAAAGCACTTATGAGACGTTGTAACTGCTTTATTTGTCTGTTTCCTTGTTGTCTGTCTCTCCCATTGTCTCTGTCATGCAGAGAGACAAAGTTGAGGTCTGTCCAGCTAGATCCTCAGTACCCAGCATCGTGCCTGGCACAGAACACACGCTTTCAAAAAATATTTCTTTAATAAAAAGCCTTTTTGACGGTGGCATCTCCAACAGTCAGGAACTTTCTCTTTGCGTCTGAATTTTGATCCCCAGGCAATATTTCTGCTCATTAATGAGTAATTCTTGTCTGGGTTTATGGCTCAGAGTAGAGCAGATCTCAGGCAGCCTGGCGACCACTGGCTGTGTGGGAATCGCCTTCCAGTGGAATCGCAGCAAATCTCAACTTTGAACCCCGGAATGTCAATCTAGGCCTCAGTCCCACGCCTAGCAATGCAGCCAGAGGCCTTGGGCTTTCTAGAGCTCCTGAGGACCCAGGATCCAACTGCCTTCCTCTTCCCCTAATGCTCCAAGCCCCTCTCCCAGGCCCCAAGAACTGGTGCCCATGACTCCTGGGAGCTTTCAAGCTGACGCCACACCAGAGGAAGGAGCTAGAGTGGTAGAGGTGGCCTCAGGGTTGACCCAGGGGAGGGTGGTGAAGCTTGGCGGAGCCCATGAAGACGTGGCTGAGAGTGGTAAGGTTTGGCATGCTGACAGAAACCACCTGGAACTGCTGGGCACCTGCCGGTGTGTGAGCAGGAAGAGGGCACCAGGGCACAGTTCTAAAAGCAGCATTTACTTTGGTTTTCACTTCTCCAAGGCCCCGGGACCTTTGTAAAGTCCTAGTTCTTGGGTCTTGCACACACTCTCCATCACTCCTTCAGCCACTGCAATAGCTGAGGTGTGTAGTAAGTGATGATGATGTCGGCACCTTTGTAAGAGAGAAATGGGAAACGGGAGGGGTGAGCATCAGTTCTGAGCACACCTCCTGGGAGAAGAGGGCTGGGGGGAAGAAGGCTGCTATGAAGAGGCACAGTTGGTGGGTGACACAACATAAGCCTGAGCCCAGCTCTGGTGAATTCTAGCTCTGTAAGTTGTGCGACTGTGGACAAGTCATTTTCTCTTCTTGGGCCTCAGTTTGCCAATGTATAAAAGGCACAGTGGGGAAATAGATAAGCTGTAAGTTCCCTTCCCACACTGTGTGCCATACCAACAAAACCAGCTCCCATTCATGGAGTGATAAGCATATGCAAGTTACACATATTACCTCATTTAATCCACATGACCACCATGCACCAGGTATCTTATCCCAATTATATACAGGGCACTGAGGTTGGGAGAAGTGGCTAGGCCAAGGTCTCACAACCAAAAAATAAGAGGGCTCTGCTTTCTTCACTGTCCCATGTTCTGTTTCACAGTTTCACGTCTCTTCCTCTCAGCCTGTGTCTGTTTAGATCACTGGTATTTCTGGGCCTAAGACTATAGGCTGTTTCATGACTTCATTTCCCTCTCTGGGCAAGGTGCCTATTAGTTCGTGTGACACAGGTCAAAAACCCCACCCCTGCCTGCTCACCAGCTCTGCGGAAGGCGGTCATGACCTCCAGTACAGCAGCCTTGAGATCAAACGCTCCAGCCTGGGCTCCATGCCACAGCATAGCAAACTCTCCAGAAACATGGTACACGGCAAGCGGGAGCTCCGGGTGCTGCAGAGAAGCATCAGTAGGCAGAAGTGGAGGGTGGGTGTGCCCCTGAGAGTATCCCTTGTTTCCTCCCCAACCTTTCACCACCTTGAGCCCCATGCCCCAAGTCCCTGCTGCTGGCAGCCCGGCCCATTCTCACACTGTTAGAGCAGAGCTGTTCAAATGCTTCTGCCCACTGGTGGTTCCTGGATAGGGGCAGGGAGGGGAAGCTTCCTGTCCAGGGGGCAGATGGCTTCCAACTCTGAGATTCTGCAGTCCCTCAATCGAAGGTCCCAGAGCCTGTGGACACACTCTCACCTCCCTGAGCGCCCCCTGTCTCTGTCTCTGCTCACCTTGTCCTTCACCTCCCGCACAATGTCCAGGTAGGGCATTCCTGGCTTCACCATAATCATGTCGGCTCCTTCCCGGACATCCCGGTCCTAGGGATGAGGCATGGTGTGGGCAGTGCCCGGAGGCGCAGGGAGAAGGGGGCAGGCTGGCTGGGGCTCAAGCTCTGGTCACTCACCACTGCTCGGAGGGCCAGGCCTCGTGCTCCGGGTGGAAGCTGGTAGCAGCGGCGGTCTCCAAAAGCTGGGCTTGACTGAGCCGCGTCCCTGGAAAGCAGAGGCATCAGGGTGGGCTCCAGCTTTGGGTAACGGGTCAGGGATTTAACCACAGTCCCTTGCCCACCCCCACTTACCGGAAAGGTCCGTAGAAACAGGAAGCAAATTTGGCACTATAGCTCATCACCGATACCTGCGGAGAGACAATGGGGGCTGAGGCTCAGCCAGCGCTTTCCAGATGTCCCAGGGTCACGGGGCAGGGAAAGGACCCAGGCTGAGTAGAATGCCTGTGTTCTAGCCCCACTGGAGCTCTGGGCCTCAATGTCCCCATCTTAGGAGCAGAGGTTGAGACAGATCCCAAAGGCCTTGGACAGTGCCGTCCTCAGTTCTGTGATTCTCGGCAGATGTGGGGGCAGGGCTCTCTCCTCACCTCCCCACATCCCTCCCCACACTCCGTGCCCTACCCTGTTGCCAAGTCCATGTGCCATCAGAGCCTCCTTGATGGCTTCCACGCGTCCATCCATCATGTCCGACGGAGCTACTACCTGACATCCTGAGGGACAGAGAGTGGTCCTCAGAACTCCGGGACCCTCCTGTCTCCTCTGCCACCTCCCCAACCCAGAGGTCCTCATCCCTGCTGGTGGCTCTCACCTGCCTTGGCATAGGCCAGAGCCACCTCTGCCAGCCGCTGGCGGCTCTCCTCGGCCTGGAAAGATCCATTCTCGCTCAGAAGCCCTGCGGGTCAGATGGCCGGGTTTTAGGGAGCAGCCTTGGCTCTGGCCTGTGGGGAGAACTGGGCAGTGGGAGTACAGGTGGGAGCAGGGCCGGTGGAGGGAAGGAGCTCACCGCAGTGACCATGGGAGGTGTAGGGGCACAGACAGACGTCACAGGCCACCAGCAGGCCTGGAAAGGTCTTGCGCAACAGACAAATGGCCTCAACAGTGGGGGAGTCCTCGGAGTCAGCTGCAGAGCCCCGCTCATCCTAGTGGCAGAGGAAGGACAAAGCAGTGTGTCTGTCACATGAAGCCTGTGGGAGGCACAACGGTCCTCACAGAGGGCAGCCCTGGCCCTCTCCTTTTATCACCATCACAGCCTCTGGACGAGAAGGCACAGTGAGGACTGTCCCCATTTTGCAGAGGGGACTTGATTTGCCTAGTCAGGGTGTCATAACCCTACTTAGCTTCTTGACCCTACATGGGTTCTGTCTTAGTAACAGGGGTCATGTCCATTCACCTGTGGCCCAGGGCCAGCACAAGGCCTGAGTGAGGGTGTGGTCAGTGTGGAACCTCAGCTCCCCTTCACTCAACCTCCCTTCCCCTCTCCTCTCACACCTCCTCTGGTTCCTCACCTTGGGAACTTTGCTGGGAACACCAAAGACCAGGACGCAGCGCAGGCCCTTTTCCACCAGGGGCCTCAGCATCTCTTCTAGCCGGTTCACGCCATACCTGCGTGGAGGTGGGGTGGAGGGGCTAAGTGAGGCAGGGCCCAGGCCAGGGTCCTCCCCACCCTGCAACACTGTGCCTCTGTTAAGAGCCAAGTTGCACATGATACCAGGAGGGCTCAAGCCCCACAGTACAGTGGGGCAGGAACATACCCACCAAACAGATAGGAAAGCTGGGGCCCCAAGTGGCAGAGCTATGGGATTCGGCTGAGGAAGGCCCCTCCAAGGTCCTTTCACTGAACTCCCACTTGGATCAAGCTCTCCTCTCCAAGATTCTGCTATGATGCTCTGGTGATGGGTAGCCTGTTACTTTATGAGGCTGCCTCTTCTGCTGTGGAACTTTGACCCTGACAAAACCCTTCTCTCTACTGGGCTGAAGTCAGACTCTCCAATCTTCTACCTCCTGGGTCTGCTTCTGCTTCCTGGCACCTCCCCTTGTAAAATCTCTTCTTCCATCATCCCCCCGCCCTCCCCACCATGTCTCCTACCTGGCCACTCCTGGAAGGCTGGCGATAGGCTGCACATCATCAGGAACATCCCTGCAAGAGTGGGAGTGGGCTATGGATTGGTGGCTGTGGAAAGGGCCCGTGGTGAGGGGGTAACTGGGGGGGATGATTGGGGAGCTGGGAAGGAACGTGGCAGTGGAGACGGCGGGAGGAGGACAGGGCCCAGTGTCTGGTTCCCCTGCCCAGCCAAGCCCAGGGCCTGAAATAACAGGAATGACAAGAATAACAGTGACGACAAGAGCAATTGTACTAAAAGACAAACCCTCACAGGAAGCGGTCAAGTGGTTAAGAACTTGGACACTGAAGTCAGAAGGTCCTTACTTGCCATCACAGTCACATACTGACTGGGTGACCTTGGCCAAACTGTACTACTTCTTTGAGCCTCAGGCCCTTCCTAGGTGGATTCACTCGTTCATTCATATAACAAATATTTATTGAGCACTTACTACGTGCCAGGTACTATTCTAGGCCCTGGCAGTATAACAGTGAACGAAACAGACAAAAATCCCTGCCCTCGTGGCGATGACAATCTAGGGGTAGTACCTAGGGGTAGGCCATACCTTCTGCATACGGATGTTGTCAGGACTGAAAGATAACAGAAGCAGATGCTTAGCATAGTACGTGGTACACAGTGAGTACTCAATAAAGGTCAGCTGTTGCTATTATTAATAATCATGACTGCCACCTCTTACGTGTACATAGCACTTGACAATCCACAGAATACCTTCCCAGCTCCTGTCATTGCAAAAGCTCAGGATGGCAGGTAAGGGTTACTCTTATTTTCCAAATGGGAAGATCGAGTTCTTTTCAAGATTTGTTTTGTTCTTAAGACAGTTGTCCTTAACCCAGCAGGCCACTTCCTAAGCCTTGAGCTCCAAGCTGGCAGCTCCCTTTACCACCCGCAACAGATGCCAGCTCCGGTCACAAACACACCCACCCACCACACATACCCTTCGGATCAAACACCCGGGTCATTCTGGGGACTCACGTGACAAAGATGGGGTAGATGAGGTTGGAGGCACTGAGGGTGGTGGCAGCTGCCTGCCAGGTCCGAAGCAGTGGGTGGAAGTAGCCGCTGTGCAGAACAGACTGGGGCTGCATGGTGCGCCGTGAGGGCTCCTGGGTATCTGCTGGCTTCTCGGCTGTGTGGGGGCAATGGGAGGAACATGACGCATGGTCCCTGTCCCCAGGAGGTGGTCATAGACCCCCAAACTCTTCTGGATTCCTGCCTCTCCTGCTCTCTACCCCAGTGTTCCTCCAAGTGTGGCTTACCAATCCCCGCTGGTCCATAAGATAAGTAGAGAAATGAAAGTAGGCCTTAAGAAACTTTCATAGCAATTTGAACCTAATAATATACAATTTGGGTTCCTATTTATATGGTCTCTCTTTTTTCTAGTAATTCATTTTTATTTTATTAAAGAATCAATTTGGGCTGGAGTGGAAATTAGTATGAGGAGCACTGATCCAGCCAACATTTAAACGTTGTTTAGTCCATGAAAAATGTCCACGCACTTGGCAGAAATTTTAGGTAAGCCAAAGGAGAAAAATTCCCTGTAATTCTACCTCTAGAGAAAAGCACAGTAAACCCCTTCGTACATGGACTTGTTGGGCAGGACTCACACTAAGAGGATTAAATAGCACCGTGCTCGACAGACACACAGACCCTGTAGAGTGGCCACTGATGTCTTTTCCAGCCCTAGAGCCTCCTGCTGCTCCTCAAGCACAAGCCACACTCGGCCAGCTTCTGGCTCTGCTCACCCTGTTCCCTTTATCTAGACCGTTTGTGCTCTCTCCACAACTTCCCCTGCCCCAAATTTACCTGGTTCTCCACAAGGCACTCCCTCCCTCCCTCGCCCACTACAGCTTCTCTTCTTGCCCAGATCACATACTCTCTTATATAACAGGTCTTCGTGGACCTATCTTATCTTGTCCCAGTAGACAGAGCTTCGGCAGGGTAGGGTCCATAGTGAGTTCATTTTGTGTTCCCCATACACTCTGCCACACAGTAAATATCAATTACATGAAATACCAGGTAATATGTCCTAAATGCCAAATAAGGGATGTAAGACAGAAGGAAGCTGGGGCATTATCATTTGTTTCTTGAGCATCTACTGTGTGCCAGGCCACACTGGGCATTTGCACACATGATTTCTTATCGAGTTGGCACTACAGTCCTGGGAGGTAGGGCTGACTGGGTGCATCTCGGAGAGGTGAAGCCTAATCTAAAATAACTATGAGTTCCAATGTGAGTTTGGAGGGCAGAAGCTTGTTGAAAGAAGATAAGGACTTGAACTTGGTTTTGCAGGATGAGTGGGTTTGGCTAGTCAGAGGACAGGGGAGAACATTCCCTCAGGCAGGGAAGATAAGAGTAAAGGTGGGGAAGGAGGGATGGTTATGGACTGTTCTCAGGAACTAAGGAGGCGATCAAGCCATGTGTGTATGGAGGGGAGGGGACAAGAGGGGGCCAGATGGAGGACAGGGAAGGTTTCTGGCCAGAGGGTGGAGGAGTGGCCTGGTCAGAGCCTGGCTTTAGGAAGAAAATGCTTACAGCCTGAGCACAGCAGATTGGAAGCAGAGGAGCACAGAGGCTGTGGGTCAGAGGGGCAGAGAAGGAAGGGCCATCATAAGGCGGCCAAAAGGGAGTCTCTTGGGGTGGACGCTCTGAGCGTCTCTGACCTGGAGGGCAGTGGAGACAGGGACAAGGCAGGGAGAGGGAAGGAGGAACAGACTTTGGAGATGAGGCGGAGAGCTCCGTTTTAGACACTTCCTTTTGGAGGTGTGTACAGATATTGATGCGAACAAAACTGAGTTCATCTTTGTGTCCCTCCTTTTGTTTTTCTATGCTGAGAACTCTGACCTAACGAGTCTCAGCCAGCACCAAAGCCTCACAGTTAATGATTAGCTGTGTCCCGTAAGCTCGCCCAATGTAACCATAAAGGTTCCTGTCAGTAAATGACCAGAATGGTATAGCCACTGAGATAAATACTAAACTAGGTGTTGGCATTAATTCTAAGCAATAATTATCCTAAGACCACCAGGAAATATGGTTCCTGGCTCATTGCATTCTTTGTCCCTTTGTCTTGTCAATAAAAGGCTTATTGTAGCAACTGTCTAGCAGCGGAGACTAATCCGCTCTGAGCCTCTGACAAGAGGCTGGGTCATCTCTTCTGCTCTGACCCAATGTTCCTGTAAGTTAATTACCCTATAATAAATTTTGTTATAGTCAATAAACTTGCCTGCTTCATGTTTCAGTCTTAAGACACTTTTACAGATTGGTGGTCAAGGTACCTCCACTCTGCTTTCAGACAAGGTGCCTGGGGGAACACTCAGTAGCCAATTAGGGGGGGGAGCCAAGAGCCACTTATCTCTCCTTGTGTGAATGGGACCTCAAGGCCCAGTGAGAGGCAGGGACTTATCCAAGGTTCCACACTCCCTGGGCCTGGGGAGTCCTTTACTACACTGATGGTGCCTTTCTTCCAGTCTCTCAGGCCCCGTTTATCTGTTCCTCCTTCCTGTAAGGGTTGGGGTTATCAGGAGCCACATAGGGACCCATCCTACCACCCCACCCTTGAGTCAGCCGTATCATCTGACACAGGAGCAAGCCAGGCCTCCCCCAAAATGTCCCAACCTCCAAATGAGCAACCATTCAGCAGTTGCAAAGTCCTGAGTGCCCATTTTGTGCAAGATTTTGCTCTCAAGTCTGTCAGAGATTAGCCTAGCTCAGGGAGGTTAAGTCACTTGCCCAGGACTACACAGCTAGTTAGTAACTGAGCCAGAATTTGAATTTGTTCTAGACAATGAGTGCAGGGTGTTATCTACTAGTCCTGGTAAACATTTGATTCAGTAGGTACCTCTCTGCCTCTACTATCTTTGCTTTGGTGGCTGGAGAGATGAGAAACCAAGAGAAAAATATAGAGTGTATGTTATGTGCTGGGCACTGGACTGGGTACTTTATATACAGTGTATATATTATCTCATTTAATTGCAGAGGATTTTGCTTTTAGTGATAAAGGAATGGAGGCTCAGAGAGGTTAAGTGACTTGCTCAATGTCATTCTGGAATCAAATCAGATTCTGAAGCTAGGTCTGTGCATGTCCCTGATTCACTTCTCAGATAGTAACCTTTGTAGCAGACTCCCAGCTTCTGGAATCCAAAGATGCATTCCACTGGCCTCAATCTTGCTTCTACTTTAGAAGGCTGAGGGAGCAAATGTCTTCTGTTTATCAAAAGTGACAGGGCAGGGCTGCCTAGGAGCTTTACAGCCCATATTTCACCCCATGGAGACCGGGGGCTGGGGGTGAGGGACAAGGGAGGAGGGTGAGAGTGGTGAGGGGGAGGCCTCACTAGGGCAGTTTTAAACTTTAATCTGTTTGTGTGTTTTTTAATTGTAGGGTTCACAGAAATTTGAGAAATGGGTGTAATACAAAAATTAAGTTGAAAATCACCAATCCTGTTTCTCTTACATTCTGATGTGGAAAATCGGGTGCAGAGAGGCAAAAGGACTTGTCTGACAAAACACAGAGAGTTGGGTAAAGAGTTGGGCTTGACCATGGGATCTCCTGACTCTAGTCCAGTGCCACTACCTACATCACACATGGTCGTTCTGTTACAACAGGCACTGAATCAATATCTGTGGAGTAGAAAAACACTCCTGAGTAACAGAGCTGAATCTCTGTTTGCAGAGCCAAAGCCAGGAGGAGGTTTGGCTTTGCACAAAGTCCCACAAAGTTTGGGAGATTTTCATACACTTGGGAAAGCACTTCTCCCAAATCAAGGGAGATTGCAAGCCATTGCTTCAATCCTGTCACACCTCACTGAAGTCAAGGGCAAGTCACCATGGGATGCAGCACCTATGCTCAGCCACATTAGAACAGGTTAGCTTAGCTGGAAGGCAGGATAGGATGGTGCAGGAAAAAAAACATACTTCAAGGTCAAAGAACACCAGGTCTGGTCTGTGCTCTATGTATGACTGAAAGGTTGCTGGCCTTTCAGATTCTTCATTTTGTGGTTTATCAAATGGGAGTTATTTCAACTGGCAAAGCTTCAGAGATTTGAGATAGTGAAGAGGTACGTGCCTAGCTGCACAGTAAACATGTAGCTACTTTCATATTAGGAACAGAACTGAGCTGAAACTAGATCTTCTGGGGTGACATCATAGCCATGACCTCTGCACCACACCCAGAAGGGAGAACTTTCACTCAAACCTGTGTGGACTACAGGGTCTTCCAAGACATCTGAGGTGGGGGCATCCCTGCCTTCCAGCAGCCCATGTGGGAAGAGAGGAAATAATTACCACACAGATGCTACAATAGAGGGGTGGACCAAGTGCTGTGGGAGGAACCTATGTTCTGTGGGAGTCAAGGAGGGCTTCATGGAAGAGGGGACATTGAAGGATAAGTAGCTTTTCAGGCTGATTGTGAAGGTGTCTCCTTCCGTAGAAGGCAACTTCCCCAAACTGGGAGTAAGCTAAGTTGGGCCCTGAGAGCTGCTACCAAGAGGGGCTGAGAAAGAGCTGCAGGGTCTGAACCCGCCCCCTGTTGTGCTCAGCTGAGGATTCCAGAGATTATGGTCTTGGCACAGAGGGTTGGCAGCTGCTGCCAGCTCTGGCAGGCTCTGCCACTAGCTGGAAACGAGGCAGTCAGGAAGGCCAGCTAGGTAGAAGGTGGCCAGGGCTGAAAAATCCAAAGCTCCAAAGAGGCCCAAAACAGCAGCTGTTAGGCAGTTCTGAAAATGGGACGGACTTGGTTATTCAACTCACATTTCCTGAATATCTACTCTAGGCCTGTCCCAGTACTATATACAGGAATTGAAGAGAAGAATGAGATCTGGGCCCTGACCTTGAGCTTTGAAGAGCCCAGTTTCCTCTGGGCTTAGCTATTTGAAGCTATGAGGAAAACCTGCCGGGTCCACAGACTCTTAAAACATCTTGACTAAGAGGGTCCTTAAAGCTTGTTGATCATATCATCGAAATGATGGTGAAACTGGGCTCAAAGGACAGACACAGACCCAAGACCACGTAGGGGGTCAGTGGCAGATCTAGGGCTAGAATTCAGGTTTTCAGCAGCCCAGTTCTCAATG